GAGTTCAAGGCCAGCCTAGTCTACCAAACAAGGTCCAGGACAGCTAGGATTGTTACACAGAGAAACCCTGTCTTGAAAACTAAAAAAAGAAAGTAGCCCATGGATCAAAGCCCCTCTTCTCGATGACCTTTAGGCAATCATGGGAGAGCGCTGGTCTAGGTGGGGGTGGGATCATCATTTTGTACACCAGGAAAAGACAAGTTATCTTTTTACCTCTTACCCACTATTGTTTTTACTTTGTTCTGTAATCGTTTTAAAACACCTAACCCTTGCCACTTGAACCATGCCCCCTCTTGAAACCCCTTCTCCTTTGATGAAAGTTTCTCTTTCTTTAAAAAAAAAAAATTATAGGGGCAGGAAAGATGACTGAGCAGTTAAGAGCACTAGTTGCTCTTCCAGAGGACCCACGTTCAATTTCCAGCACCCCCATGGCAGTTCATAACTGCCTGTAACTCCAGTTTCAGGGATCCAACACAACACAGACATACATGCAGGCAAAACATGAATTCATACGAAATAAAAATAAATAATTTTTTTTAAATTATCACATTTATTTTTAAATTTTATTTTATGTGTATGTATGTTTTGTTGACATGCATATCTCTTTATCACATGCATGTCTGGTGTCTGCAAAAAGCAGAACAGGGTATGGAAACTGGAGTGACAGAGACCTGTGAGCTGCCATGTGCATGCATCACTGGATACTGAACCCACGTCTTCTGGAAAAGGACTTCTAACTCTGAGCCATCTCTCTAGTCCTCTATTTCTCTTTCTAATAGGTGATGTTAAAGCACTTGCCTTTCACTCATTCCTCCTCTGCAGGCCAATATCCTGGAGTCAGCAGCTTACAGCTGTAATCACTGCTGCCTCCCCTGCCCTGGAACCCAGGCTCATGTTCAGAGAAAGAAAGGTTGAAACTCGGTGCTAAAAGCTTGTAACCTTTCAGATGCCTCAGAGGAGATACTGTAGCCAAAATGAAGGTTCACTGATGAGTGGGACTGTACCATGACCAGACTGTTTTCCCTTTTCTCTTTGTTTTTTAGAGTCAAGGTCTTACTCTAAAGCCTTGGTTGGTCTGGAGCTTTGTCTGTAGACCAGGTTCTTCTCAAACTCACAAAGATATTCCTGCCTCTGCCTTGTTGACCAGGTTCTTCTCAAACTCACAAAGATATTCTTGCCTCTGCCTCGTTGGTGCTGGGATTAAAGACATGCACCATCAAGCCTGCCAGCTTGCCTATTATTTAAACAAACATCTTTCCAGGACCTGAAGATGCACTCCAGGGGGTCATTCTAAAGACCTGGACAGGGCTCTTTCAGAGGTCCTGAGTTCAATTCCCAGCAACCACATGGTGGCTTACAGCCATCTATAATGAGCTCTGATGCCCTCTTCTGGAATGTAGGCAGACATGGAAACTAACATTGTATACAAAATAAATAAATAAATATTTAAAAAAAAAAAGACCTAGAGTAGCCTGATGGTGGTGCACGCCTTTAATCCCAGCACTCGGGAGGCAGAGGCAGGCGGATCTCTGTGAGTTCGAGGCCAGTCTAGTCTACAAAGGGAGTTCCAGGACAGGCTCCAAAGCTACAGAGAAACCCTGTCTCGAAAAACCAAAAAAAAAAAAAAAAAAAAAAAAAGAGCTAGTTCTAAGATAGGCTCCAAAGCTACAGAGAAACCCTGTCTCCAAAAACAAAGAAAGGAAGGAAGAAAGGAAGACCTGGAGTTATGAAGGTTTGTAAACTGCCATCTCAGGACCAGAATCTGAGCTGAAGCCGGACCCCAGCACTGGCTGCCCTTCCAGAGGACCCAGATTTGATTCCCAGTACCCCCATGGCACCTCACAACTGCTTGTACTCCATTCCAGGGGATCCAGTACCCCCTATGGCCTCTTGGGACACCAAAGACTCATGTGCTACACATACATACGTACATGCAGACACTCACACATACAAATAAAATAAAAATAAAGCTGGGTGTGAGGGTACATTTCTCTAACCCAGCAGCTGGGAGTCAAAGCCGGCAGATCTCTGAGTTGGACGCCAGCTTAGTCTACACAGAGAGTTCTAGGCCAGCCAGGGCTACATAGTAAGACAGTGTCTCAGAAAAATGTTTGTAAAATTTTAAAAAATTATGTGTATGTGTATATGGATATGTGCGCATGAATGCAGGTACCTGCAATATCCAGATGAAGACATCAGATCCTCTGGAGCTAGAGTTTGCAGGTGGTAATCAGCCTGAGTGGGTGCTGAGAACCAAACTTGGTCCTCTGAGCAAGAGAGGTATACTCTGAGCTGCTTTATCTCCAGTCTCTTTGAAGTTTCTATTAAAATCTAAAGTTCATGTCAGAGCCCCAGAGATGACCCTGGTGCTCAGACTTTGGTAAGTGGCTACACTAAGCAGGTTTTCCACATCTTATTACTGTCTCTTTCAACTGTGTTTGGGTGAGTGACTGAGCGTAGATTATTGGGGTGGTGAAAGCCAGGACTTTTGCTTTAAATTTTCGTGGCAGTGTCTTTTTTTTTTTTTTTTTTTTTTTTTTTAATTCTCAGTATTCTGGCTGTATGTACACCTGCAGGCCAGAAGAGGGCACCAGATGGTTGTGTACCACCATGTGGTTTCTGGGAATTGAATTGGAAGAGCAGGCTATGCTCTTAACCACTGAGCCATCTCTCCAGCCCTTGCTTTGAATTTTCTATTGCAGTATGAACTAAACGGAACCAACACTAACTTAAGACTTTCAGTGTATGTGAGCACCAACTTATAAACTAATTTGGTACCATATACAGGACATGGCAAACATGAGCACACAAGTAGACAGTGCTTAAACACCTGCAGACGACATGAAGTTGGACTAAGGGATTTTTGTAGCCTTTCATTTAGTTTTCATTTATTAATTTTAAGTTATTTCTGTTAATCTGATTATTTTCTCCATAGCATTAAGTAATACTTATTTTAAAATCTGCATATCCAAACATCTGACTATTAGAGATACGGTAGGTTTTAGGACATTTTAGAGTTAAAAAAGTTTTATTTTTTAAATGTGTGTGGGTGTTTTTCCTGAATGTACGCCGTTTGCCTGCCGAGGCCATAGAAGGCGTTGGACCCCTTGATTGGGTGTTACAGACAGTTGTGAGCTGCCATGTGGGTGCTGGGAATTGAACCTGGGTCCTCTGGAAGGACTCTGAATCCCCGAGCCTCTCCCCAGTTTCCATTTTCACCTTGTAAATTGTGATAGAACGAAAAAAGGAAAAGTCACGTCTGCTCCAAGGTCTGGTGGAGAAGGTTGAGTGTAGATCAAAGGGAGTGCATAGGTAGAGGCAGGGATGTCTGGGAGAGTCAGGCTGAGCTGGGCCATGCAGGGAGAAGGGGAGGGGAAATGAGAAAGGAGAGAGGGGAACCAGGTGTAGCAGCTAGGAGGCCAAAGGTAAAAAAAGGGGTGGGTAACCAAAATGTCTGGACTCTAAAGAAAAGAGTCTCTATGGGAAGGGCAGCCCAGCCCCTGGGTTAGAGAGCACCCGGTAGAGGCCAGCCACATCCTCTAACAGGTAGGGACTAAGGGATGCTGGGAGAACCTAGAGGCTTGATCCACTGTGATATCTTAAAGAGGCACCTTGGGCTTTTGTTTGAAACTTAATAGAGATGTGTACTCCTCCCTAGCAGTAGCAGGGGTAAGAGTTAAGACATTTACAAAAGTTAAGAAAACTTGGCTTTTTTTTTTTTTTTTTAAAGTCATTCTGTAACCCAATTGTGCTATCCATGAGCCAAGTAAAGAATCGACAGAAGACACTGATTTCTGGTGCACTCAAGGTCTTAACAGGAGGCAGGCAAAGTCAAATCCGGAACTCTGCACTTAAGATTCTGCTCCTTTCTGCGGCCTGGCGGTGGTGGCACAGGCCTTTAATCCCAGCGGGTGGATCTCAGTGAGTTCATAGGCCAGCCTGGGCTACAAAGGGGCTTCCAGGCCAGTCAGGCCAGGCCAGACAGGACTTAAACGGATAAACTCTGTCTCACACAGAGAAGCCCTGTCTTGAAAAACTAACCAACCAGCCAACTAATCAAACAAACAAACAAAAAGATGGCCCTCCTTTGAACACCTGAGGTGATTGCAAACCTTGGACTTGGAGTAGAATTGAAGGTAGGTGTTTTCAACCTTTTCTCAGCAGCAGAGTTGTGTTTTTTTTTTTTTTTTTTTTTTTTTCTTGACACCTGTATGGCTACCTCTCCAGCTCCATTTTCCTCAGTTATTCTCACCTGCGCTGGGGAGGCTAGGCTGTGGTATGCTCCTGTATTTGGTCAGTTCTAGTGTGGAGCCTGCCCGTTTCAGATCCTTCTGAAAGACAGTTTGCTCACTCCATTGCTTGTTAACTGAAGTGATTAACTCTATTGGATCCATTGTGTGTATGGGTGTAGTTTATGGACAGACCTCGACAAGAAAGAGAGGGCAGGAAATGGTGACAGGGTCACAAACCCAGGGAAGCCCGTTGTGAACTTTCTGGCTTTGATTTCAAGATATATTTACTATGCCGTCTCCATCTTCTTTTTTAAAAGATTGATTTTATTTTTATATGTATTACGTGTGCGTGTCGTGTCCTTGGAAACCAGAAAAGGGCGGCAGATCTCGTGAAGCTGCAGTGAGATCCCGAAAGTCGGTGCTAGAACAGTCTCAGGTCCTCTACAAGTGTGGGACTTGCTCTTCAACTGCTGAACCATCTCCACCTGTCTTCATTCTTTTCCCCTCCCTCCACTCACCCCACTTCCCGCCACGCTCCTTTCTCAGCCTCCAAGTGTTGGGGTTACAGGCTCAGAGGAAGTGCGGCTAACAGGCGACCCTCGCTCCGGGAACCCCATGGGGTTTGCCTTAAGAGTCCAACCTACACGGAAGGTGAAGGTGGTCATGGTGAGGATCCCAGATCGTGGACTACAGCTCCCAGCATGCCGCACCAACCGCCGAATCAAGTCTCGCGCGACGTGCTGCGGTATCGGGCTGGGCTGGGCTTTGGCTGCCGGCCGGCGGCAGTGCTTAGTCGGGAGAGTGAGTCGCGCACTCACGATGGCTCGGCTTTGCTCAGCTCCTCAGCCTCTTGGGCCATCTGGAGCCTCGGAGCCTCTTTAGTGCCGGAGTTCGGGCCGCAGGCGGCGGGCGAGCAGGTGACGGACCGCGACCTGGCGCTGCTGGAGGGGGGTTGAGCCCCGGGGCGCCGCGGCCTGGGGGCCGGGTGGGGGCCTCGAGCCCCTCTGAGATCTCCAGTGAGGCTCCGTGCACCCGCGCTCCGGGCATCCGCGGGCTTGGCCTCGAGGGGTGGGACCGTGGAAGGATCCGGCTGGGCTTTGTACATCCCGGAGGCTTTGTTTTGTACCTTCTGAAAAAAGACGTGGGCTTGGGGGTCGCTGTGGAAGAGGTGAAGGGCGTGTGTCTGGCTTGCCGATGCCCTTGGGGCTGCGGTGAGTGGCCCCAGTGAACTTGAAGAAAAATTCGGGTCAGTAATGCCTGCTGTGCAGTGCGGCGCAAGGGTTTTAAGGATAGTTTTGTTAAGAGGCGGTTACTGTTAGCCGGCGTTAGTAAGAGTGTATTGGTCTTCACTGCTGCATAGCCCTTTTCTGTCGAGGGGAGATGCTATGTAATACGGCTTGTGATGGGAATGAACGAATGTACAGGGCATCGTTTGGTGGGCTTGGGAGCGCTGTACCAACCCTGGCTGTTTATTATTATTAGAGCCTCTGGATGGAGTCTTCCTCGGAAGCTTTGCTAATTTGCAGCAGCTGGGCAATGCTCCTCATTACCATCTGTCTGTCCGCATAGTTCAGCGTCATTTCATTGTGGTAAGGCGTCTTCACTGTGTCTTGTCTTTACTTTCTCCGTTGTTAAGATGAGCCAGGGGGTGAACCGTTGAACTTTATCCTTTGGGGTGTGTTTGTCACACATTGGTTCTAGTGTATGTAAGTTTCAGCCTTATTAACAAGCCATAAATCGCTGAGAAGAGCAGCCCTGGAGTGATCATCCGCTGTTCAGCTTAAGAAAATGCCCTTTGTTATTTTTAATAGGTGGCAGGGACTCCGCTCGGAATTCTGTATAGAAAAAGCTCCTGGATCCCAGTCTTTCAATGGCTTCGAGACAACCAGAAGTGCCTGGTAAACAGAGTTCTTATTTGGTTAAGTCTGTTTTGCCTTTATTGACCTAAACTTATTTTCTCCAAATCATATGTTAACAGTTCTCCTATTTGCCACTAGAGAAGTAGTCAGATTGCCATCATTTTAATATTATCTCATTATCCTCCCAGCCACGCTCAGATCTTTACTTAGAGCCACTGCCCTTAAGTGTGTGACAATACATTATACCAAAGGAGAATGAACAGTATGTTTGTAGGGTGTGTCAGCATGAATAAATTACCCTGTTTTGAGGGTGGTTAGTGTAGGACGGAGGTCTGGGCAAAAGATAGAATCACTGTTAAATCTAACTCAGTTGTAAAAATGTTTGTGTCAACACTTAGTGTGTTCTCTTGGTTTGTGTTCTGCAGTACTGAAATCTCTTTGGACTGTTACCAGAAAGGAAGGCGATTTGTTTTTATTTTTTTTTGTTTTTCGAGACTGGGTTTCTCTGTCGCTTTGGAGCCTGTCCTGGAACTAGCTCTGTAGACCAGGCTGGTCTCGAACTCACAGAGATCCGCCTGCCTCTGCCTCTGCCTCTGGAGTGCTGGGATTAAAGGCGTGCACCACCATCACCCGGTTTAAGGAAGGCGATTTGTAAATCAGGCTGAATCACTGAGTCTCTCATTCTCAGAAGTGTAGACTGTGTTGCCTGCCCATCTAATGTGAAGATTAAACAGTTTTTTTCTTTATTTGTTTTTTGGAGACTGGGTCTCTCTCTGTGGTTTGTAGTTCTGGCTGTTTTGGAACTCTACTTGCTTGTTTGTTTTTCGAGACAGGATTTCTCTGTAGCTTTGTGGCCTGTCCTGGAACTAGCTCTTGTAGACCAGACTGACCTTGAGCTGGCAGAGATCCTCCTGCCTCACCTCCCAAGTGCTGGGATTAAAGGCACGAGCCACCACCACACCCATTTAAATAAAACACATTTTGCAGATTGAGTTAAAAGTGGCTGCTAAATCTGCATTTACTGCTCAAAAAGTGTTTGTTTGTTTGTTTGTTTTGAGACAGTATCACTTTGTATACCTGACTATCCTGAAACCCCAGAGATACTCCTGCCTCTGCCTCCTGAGTGTAGGATTAAATGCATGTGTACCACGCCTGGTTCTTTGTAGGCACGTATTTCTTAGGAGAGGTTAGCTAACGTTATCGTCATGGTTTTTATGAAGCCACTGGGAGCAGTCTTGAACATGGTTCTGAAATTGCTCCCCAGTAGGTAGGTTAATGGAAGTGTCTCAATGTGTCTTAGAATCTCTTGTCTCAGCTAGGCACACGCCTTTAATCCCAGCACTTGGGAGGCAGAGACTGGAGAATCTCTGAGTTCGAGGCCAGCTCTGGTCTATAATAGAGCTAGTTCCAGGCCAGACTCCAAAGCTACTGAGAAACCAACCCTGTCTTGAAATACAAAAACAAAAATCTCTTGTTTCTACCATTATGTGTGTCTTCCATTCATACTGCATTGCCATAAACTCATTGTAACCGTGCAGAACTGTGGTGTCATACTCATTGGGTTAGTGCTTTGTAGCATGGACGTGTGGAGTGGTGGGCACAAGGTGGGAGCCCTGGCTTGACTGTGTACTGCACGCTAAGCTGTGTGATTGCTTGTGCTCTGTACCAGTTTCCTGGTCTCTGGGACATGGGAAGAGCATTGTTTAGTGATGATTGGATACAAGGGGGGGATGTTATGTTAGTGCCTGGTAATTTCTTTTTTTTTTTTTTTTTTTTTTTTTTTTTTTTTTTTTTTTTTTTTTTTTTTTTTTTTTTTTTTTTTTTTTTTTTTTTTTCGAGACAGGGTTTCTCTGTGGTTTTGGAGCCTGTCCTGGAACTATCTCTTGTAGATCAGGCTGGTCTCGAACTCACAGAGATCCACCTGCCTCTGCCTCCCGAGTGCTGGGATTAAAGGCGTGCGCTACCACCGCCCGGTCTAGTGCCTGGTAATTTCTATTTGTCTGTTTTAGTTGAGATACAATGCACATCCTGTAAATTCACCACTTACAGCGGGTAATGTCATGGCTGGTGTGTTCTTAAGGTTTGCATCTATCAAATTAACCTACTTACAGAGTATTTTCCTTCTCTCAGAAAGACTTTGTTCCCATTAGGAGTTACACCTCATTGCCCTCTCTCCCTGGCCCCTGGCAACCTCTTGGGTTTGTTAGTAGTTATTAATATTGGAAATAGTCACATGGTAGCTGCGGGTCTCCTTGCTGTCTAAGTGAACTTTCTGGGGTTTGGGACTTGCTGCCAGGTAGGCTGCTATCTTGAAGAATACGATTGTATAACAGGTAAGTATCACCTTGAAGGCAGGTTCTGGATCAGTAAACCAAAGTGAACCTTGCTCTCTGTTGCGGCACAGCTGAGAGTGCCCTTGAAGCATGGTGCTGGCGGCACAGCTCTACATTCCAGCAGGCCTGTGGACAGGGCTGGCAGGATCAGGCTGGTAGTGCTGATGAGAGCGGCGGTCAGTCATTTCTTTGGAAATGTTCAGTCATCAGAATACTAGAAACTGGAGGTGGTGCCAGGCTGTGAACTGCTGCTTGTAGTTCTCTTTGTGGGGAGACAACAGGCATGGGGTTTGTCATAGACTTGGTCAGACCTCAGCCAGCTATTTTCTCTATGAACTAAGGCAGATCAGTTCACGCTAGGGTTTAGTTTCCTCATCAGATGAGACAGAGACAGGTAGAGTGAGGGGGAAAAGAAGAGAAGATACCTCAGCCACTTTATGTCCCTCTTAGTCTTGTATGTCTGCGAGTTTAGTGTAGAAGTTTTGAAATGAGATAGATTTGAGTTTTGACTGGAAATCATGCTTTGAAATTGAGACTTTGCACAGGTAAATTTAAACTGAGTTTAAGGTTCTTTAGTCTTTAAAAGTGGATTAGGGGGAGCTGGAGAGATGGCTCAGTGGTTAAGAGCATTGCCTGCTCTTCCAAAGGTCCTGAGTTCAATTCCCAGTAACCACATGGTGGCTCACAACCATCTGTAAAGAGGTCTGGCGCCCTCTTCTGGCCTTCAGGCATACACACAGACAGAATATTGTATACATAATAAATAAATAAATAAAGTGGATTAGGTCCTGGTGTAGTGGTGCATGCCTGTAGTCCCAGCGCTTGGGAAGAACTGAGGCAGGAGGACTGACACAATTTGAGGCCAGCTGTGCAAGTTATATAGTGAGTACCAGCCAGCCAGGACTACGTAGCAAGACCCTATGAAAAAGGAGGAAAGAAAAGAGGATAGTGTTGAGTGGCTGTGTGGAGACTCCAGAGTGTAGTGGGTAAAGAAGGCAGTTAGCACTGCTGTTACCCTCCCTTGAATGGATTGATAGCTGCCACAGACAAGCTGTCCCTAAATAAATTTCATAGCTTCCTTGTCTACAGATTTTCTTTTTTTTTTTTTTTTTTTTTTTTGGTTTTTCG